TTGGCCAGGTAGTGTTGATGATGTGTGGTAGGTTGCTTAACATATTGGTACCTTAATAAAACATGTTTACTATATGTTTATAAGACACTGTCCTGCTAAATATGCACAAGGTTAAAGAGCATTTTCCATGGTACTGTCATGGTGATTTGAAGCGGTGATGACAGTTATTGTGGAGACTGTGTCTTGCCCGACTCACACCTCTCCCTTGTGATTAGTGAGCTAGTCTAGTTTACCCCTGCTTCAGGCCTATTACCTACAGGTGTTGCCTTTCCAGCTCTTGTCCCGATCCGAGTGCCCTGCTGATTCCAGCTGCGGCACCAGCCTTACAATCAGCTGCCGCCAGGGTGGGGGAAACCTGTATTAAAAACCACTCAGCAAGACAACTAACCCAGGGGATAGGGCAACCAATAGTTCACCAGGCTCTCCAAGAACTATGAGATACGTTCTCCACTCGACAACTGTTATGATGACGCAGATGCTAAGCTACAGGACTGTTTTGCTAGCACAGACTGGAATATGTTCCGGGATTCTTCCGATGGCATTGAGGAGTACAACACATCAGTCACTGGCTTCATCAATAAGTGCATCGATGACGTCGTCTCCACAGTGACCGTACGTACATACCCCAACCAGAAGCCATGGATTACAGGCAACATCCGCACTGAGCTAAAGGGTAGAGCTGCCGCTTTCAAGGAGCGGGACTCTAACCCGGACGCTTATAAGAAATCCCGCTATGCCCTCCGACGAACCATCAAACAGACAAACCGTCAATACAGGACTAAGATTGAATTGTACTACACCGGCTCCGACACTCATCAGATGTGGCAGGGCTTGCAAACTATTACAGACTACAAAGGGAAGCACAGCCGCGAGCTGCCCAGTGACACAAGCCTATAAGACGAGCTAAATTACTTCTATGCTCGCTTTGAGGCAAGCAACAACAAAGCATGTATGAGAGCATCAGCTGTTTCGGACGACTGTGTGATCACGCTCTCCGTAGCCGATGTGAGTAAGACCTTTAAACAGGTGCCAGGATAACAACCTCTCCCTCAATGTAATCAAGACAAAGGAGATGATTGTGGACTACAGGAAAATAATGACAAAGCACACACCCATTCTCATCGACGGGGCTGTAGTGGAGAAGGTTGAGCGCTTCAAGTTCCTTGGTGTCCACATCACCAACAAACTATTATGGTCCAAACACACCAAGACAGTCGTGAAGAGGGCACGACAAAGACTATTCCCCCTAAGGAGACTGAAAAGATTTGGCATGGGTCCTCAGATCCTCAAAAAGTTATACAGCTGCACCATCGAGGGCATCCTGACTGGTTGCATCACTGCCTGGTATGGCAACTGCTCAGCCTCCGACCGCAAGACACTACAGAGGGTAGTGCGTACGTCCCAGTACATTACTGGGGCCAAGCTTCCTGCCATCCAGGACCTCTATACCAGGTGGTGTCAGAGGAAGGCCCTCAAAATTGTCAAAGACTCCAGCCACCCTAGTCATAGACTGTTCTCTCTGCTACCGCATGGCAAGCGGTACCGGAGCGCCAAGTCTAGGTCCAAAAGGCTTCTTAACAGCTTCTACCCCCAAGCCATAAGACTCCTGAACACCTAATAAAATGGCTACCCGGACTATTTACATTGTATTTTATTTTATTATTTAAATTATTGGTGGAATCAAGTGCAGGACACAGGAGCTCAGTCAAACTTGACTTTACTGGCAAAGCACAAAAATACACGGGTAAATTAACCCGGAGGTACACAATACGCAACAGTGCGTAAAATACAAAAACCCGACTACGCACGAACAACAGTGCGACGGTAAACTAGCGTCTGTCCCAAACAGTCGAACATCAACAGACAGGAAAACAATCACACACAACACCTGACAAACACAACGAGAACTTATAGGACACTAATGACACTAAACGATAACAGGTGTACAATACCAGACCAGAACAAACGAACATAGAAACATACAACGGTGGCAGCTAGTATTCCGGAGACGACGAACGCCGAAGCCTGCCCGAGCAAGGAAGAGAGGCAGCCTCGGCCGAAACCGTGACAGTACCCCCCCCTTGATGTTCTAAGAAACCTACCCACATCCTGGTTCACACGTTCCACCTGCCCATTACTCTCCGGGTGGTAACCCGAGGTGAGGCTCACCGAGACCCCCAACCGCTCCATAAAAGCTCTCCAGACTCTGGAGGTAAATTGGGGACCTCGATCAGACACAATATCCTCGGGTACCCCGTAGTGCCGGAACACATGGGTGAATAGCGCTTCGGCGGTCTGCAGGGCAGTAGGAAGGCCCGGCATAGGGAGCAAACGACAGGCCTTAGAAAACCGGTCCACAACGACCAGTATAGTGGTATTCCCCTGTGAAGGAGGAAGGTCCGTGATGAAATCCACCGAGAGGTGAGACCATGGTCGTTGTGGAACGGGCAGGGGTAGTAACTTACCCCTAGGCAGATGTCTAGGCGCCTTACACTGGGCGCACACCGAGCAGGAGGAAACATAAACCCTCACATCCCTCGCCAACGTGGGCCACCAGTACTTAGTACTAAGGCAGTGCACTGTCCGGGCGATACCAGGGTGTCCAGAGGAGGGTGACGTGTGAGCCCAATAGATCAATCGATCCCGAACCTCGAGCGGAACGTACCTCCGACCCTCCGGGCATTGAGGTGGACTAGGGTCGGTGCGTAACGCCCGCTCGAGTTCAGCATCGACCTCCCACACTACCGGTGCCACCAGACAAGACTCCGGCAGTATGGGAGTGGGCTCCACGGACCTCTCCTCCGTGTCATACCGCCGAGACAGTGCGTCTGCCTTACCGTTCTGTGACCCAGGGATGTACGTGATTTTAAATGTGAACCGGGTCAAAAACATATTCCACCGCGCCTGGCGAGGGTTCAGTCTCCTCGCTGCCCGGATGTACTCCAGGTTACGGTGGTCCGTCAAAATGAGGAAAGGGTGTTGAGCCCCCTCAAGCCAGTGCCTCCACACCTTTAGGGCCTGTACCACGGCTAACAGCTCCCTGTCCCCTACGTCATAATTTCGCTCCGCCGGACTGAGCTTCTTGGAATAAAAAGCACAGGGGCGGAGTTTAGGTGGCGTGCCGGACCGTTGCGAAAGCACGGCTCCTATACCGGCCTCTGACGCGTCCACCTCTACCTGAAATGGTAAAGAGGGATCCGGATGCGCCAGCACCGGAGCCGAGGTAAACAGGTCCTTCAGCCTCCCAAACGCCCTGTCCGCCTCGGCTGACCACTGCAGACGCACCGGACCCCCCTTCAAAAGAGACGTTATGGGAGCTGCCACCTGTCCAAAACCCCGGATAAACCTCCGGTAGTAATTCGCAAACCCCAAAAACTGCTGCACCTCCTTCACAGTGGTTGGCGTTTGCCAATTACGCACGGCTGACACCCGGTCTACCTCCATCTTCACCCCTGACGCAGACAACTGATAACCCAAAAAGGAGACTGACTCCTGGAAAAACAGACACTTCTCTGCCTTGACATACAGGTCGTGCTCCAACAGCCTCCGCAACACTCGGCGCACCAGGGCCACATGCTCGACTCGGGTAGACGAGTACACGAGAATGTCATCTATGTACACGACCACCCCCTGCCCCTGCATGTCCCTGAAGATCTCATCCACGAATGATTGGAAAACTGAAGGAGCGTTCATCAACCCGTATGGCATGACAAGATACTCGTAATGGCCCGAGGTGGTACTAAAGGCTGTCTTCCATTCATCGCCCCCCCTAATGCGCACCAAGTTGTACGCGCTCCTGAGATCTAATTTAGTGAAGAAACGGGCCCCGTGCAATGACTCCGTCATGGTCGCAATCAGCGGGAGTGGATAACTGTACTTCACCGTGATCTGATTGAGACCACGGTAATCAATGCACGGGCGTAACCCACCATCCTTTTTCTTCACAAAAAAGAAACTCGAGGACGCAGGGGAAGTGGAGGGCCGTATGTATCCTTGTCTCAGAGATTCGTCTATGTAAGTCTCCATAGCTCTCTTCTCCTCCTGAGACAGAGGATACACATGGCTCCGTGGGAGCGCAGCTCCTGCCTGGAGGTCTATCGCACAATCTCCCTGCCTATGGGGAGGCAACTGCGTCGCCCTCGACTTACTGAACACAATAGCCAAATCCCCATACTCAGGGGGAACGTGCAATGCGGGCACCTGGTTTGGACTCTCCACCGAGGTAGCCCCTACGGAAACGCCTAAACATCGACCCACACACTGGGCAGACCACTCCATCAGAGCCCTCTCCTGCCACGAAATAGACGGGTTATGGGTACTCAACCAGGGCATGCCCAGCACCACCGGATACGCAGGCGAGTCGATCAGAAATAGCTGGATCATCTCCTGATGACCCCCCTGCGCACACATCCTAAGTGGCGCCGTGACCTCCCTGATCAAGCCCGCACCCAACGGACGGCTATCTAGGGCATGAACGGGGAAGGGGACGTCAACAGGGAGAAGGGGAATCCCTAAGGCTAAACAAAACTTCTTATCAACAAAATTCCCAGCCGCGCCTGAATCTACCAGCGCCTTATGCTGGGAATGAGGTGCTACCTGTGGAAAACGCACAGGTATACAGAAGTGTGCAACAGAGAGCTCTGGGTGAGTGGGGCGCCTACTCACCTGGAAGGACTCCCCAGTGCGGGGCCTGTCGTCTTCTCCCCTAGGAGGCCATCCCCAGCACCTAGCCGCGGTGTGTCCTCCCCGACCACAGTTGGTGCAGGAGATGGACCCCCCTCGTACTCCGACCCCTCCTCTCTCTAGCGCCAGCGCCCCCGAGCTCCATGGGGCACGGCTCGGAGGCGCTGGAGGGTGAAATGGACGGACCCCCCTCGGGACGTCCGCGGGTAGCTAGCAGGGTATCCAGCCTGATGGACATGTCGACTAACTGGTCGAACGAGAGGCTGGTGTCCCGACAGGCCAGCTCCCTACGGACGTCCTCACGTAGACTACAGCGGTAGTGATCGATGAGGGCCCGCTCATTCCACCCTGCATCCGCCGCTAGAGTACGGAATTCCAAAGCGAACTCCTGGGCACTCCTCTTCCCCTGCCGGAGGCAGAACAGACGCTCCCCCGCCGCTTTCCCCTCCGGGGGATGGTCAAACACCGCCCTGAAGCGGCGGGAGAACTCAGCATACGTGATGGTGGTAGCGTCTATTCTCCTCCACTCGGCGTTGGCCCATTCTAACGCCTTGCCGGAAAGGCAGGAGATCAGGGCGGACACGCTCTCGAGTCCCGAGGGCGCCGGGTGCACGGTGGCCAGGTAAAGCCCTGACACCCGGCAGCGGTCCCATCGTAGGCTCTCGGGAGCGAGAGTCGAACTCCTCGGGGTTCCGGAGCGGGAATGGGCTGACTTGCCGATGGTGAGGGCAGGGAAGATGGCGTTGGGGGTGTCCCTCGGGTCTCCCAGCGTTGGAGGGTGGTGATCACCTCCTGCAGGGCGGACCCCATCCGCAGGATCTGGTCATTCTGCTCCCGGACCCTGTCTTCCAACGTCTCCTGTGCTGCTGCGGCTCCTGCTGATTCCATTCGAAAAGGTGTGTGATTCTGTCAAGGGTTCTGATGTGACGGTGTGGTGGAATCAAGTGCAGGACACAGGAGCTCAGTCAAACTTGACTTTACTGGCAAAGCACAAAAATACACGGGTAAACTAACCCGGAGGTACACAATACGCAACAGTGCGTAAAATACAAAAACCCGACTACGCACGAACAACAGTGCGACGGTAAACTAGCGTCTGTCCCAAACAGTCGAACATCAACAGACAGGAAAACAATCACACACAACACCTGACAAACACAACGAGAACTTATAGGACACTAATGACACTAAACGATAACAGGTGTACAATACCAGACCAGAACAAACGAACATAGAAACATACAACGGTGGCAGCTAGTATTCCGGAGACGACGAACGCCGAAGCCTGCCCGAGCAAGGAAGAGAGGCAGCCTCGGCCGAAACCGTGACACCATGAGACGAGAGGTATAGTTACCATGTCAGAGTTAGCCTTCCCGCCTAACACATATTAGACACCCCAAGCATGGACCCACAGAGTAATAAAAAGAAGAAACCCTCTGGTTCTATTTCGGTCAGTGGCTCCCCAGTCAGAGAAATCCACTGCCTGTTATTATTCAAGCCAAGCCCTTTACAATGATTCTAATACCCTGTAAGTGCCCTAACTCTCAACCTCGAGGAGCCCAATCCTATTCCTCCAAAACCAAAATATCCCAAAAGAGAAGGGGTTCTATCCCTCAAACAATGACTTATATAATGGCATACTCCTTAACTCCTACCTCAAAACTGGTTACATCTGGTCCATATTGGACTCACCCACCCCCAAGCCCCATTTTTCGTTGCACTTGTCAACCTCCAGAAGGACGTCAAAGGAGGGGGTTGGAGGAAGTTAATGTTCCATTGCCCTTTCTTCGACCTCCCTTTCTGGTTCTTCCCCAAGTTCCACCCATGGATGCTGGTGTCGGCAGCGAAGGTGCTGATGTTGGCAATGACCATGCTTACTCTGCAGTCCTCGGCTGACTGCGACGCTATTTTTCCTCCCCCCACTACGAATCTCAATTTTTCTGGCCTCATGCTCCCTTCGCCCTAGAATCAACTGTATCTCAGCAGGAGTGAGAGTTACATCCATCCCACTGGTCACAACACCCCCTCCATGGATTAACTCTCGCTCCTGGTATATAACCTTTCCATTGGCCAGGTGAATGGTTCAGGTTCTGCCCCCACCCGGCTTTCTTCACGACTTCACCATCACCTCATGGATATATTCTCCCTCGAGCTCTCTCGGGCACACCCCACTCCTTGTGAGCCCACCAGCGAGGTGTGCTCTGTACCTCAGGCTTTTTGTACCTTTCCACATCTACCTCCGGTAACTGGTCCCTGAAAATCCATAGCCACCGCCCTGACCTCTTCTATCGCTTTAGACCTCTCCACACAGTTGGTACATAGTGGTGCCTCCGGGGTCAACTATAGGTAATGGCATCTTACATGGGCAATCCCGCATGTTCCACAGTGGACCTACAGAAACAAACAGCCATTGTTAGCATACAAATAAACCCACAAACAACTGTGGCCCCTCATGATGAGTTCAGAATGTTTGTGGCCCCCACCCCGATCAAAGTTGGAGCTATGACTTGCTCGCTCTGTAAAGTGGATACCGTACATTACTAAACACAGCATAGTCAGTCCATTTTTAAAAAATATAATCCAGTCTAATGCTGTGAACAATCCCAACACCAGCAGCCACCCTGAGATCTTACACGCGGCCCAGTAGTATCTGTCACCACAGATACACTCCTATTTGCAGCACACCCCATTCTTACGTACTGTACCCAACCTGCCTTGTTTCTGCTTCTAGTGGCCTCAGGGTACCATACCATTCTAATCCTATGTCCACAGCTTGCCACACCAACAAGACTTATTTGCAGTACTTGTCCTTGCCTTGTTCCATAGGGCATCTCCCCAATAGGTAAACCATAAACCAACTGCATTAGTACCTCCAGGGCGCTCCCAACCATATCCACCCTCCTAGTTTGATGGTTCCTCCTAGTAAAATAATGATCCTAATTACCCAACCCTCCTTCCATGAGCCCTGTACACAGTATCCCAACCATAATAGGTATAGTAAGGTATAGTCTACCCCAGTCACCCATGACTCATTCAGGTTTGTCTCGTTCTCTGTGAAATTGCCCTCATTGTTGTTGGTGAGGTTACCCGACATCTTGCCCCTTGGCTCCTATCCTCTCTAGTGCATCCCTCACCCACAACACTTGGCTTATATCACATTTCATTCCTTCAACAGGAATTGAATCTGCTACATAACGTTTCAATGCTGACTCGGAGGGTGGCCTATTTTACCCCATTCTGTCAGCAATTCTTGCCCCCACCCAAAACTGAGCCCCTTCCTACACGCAGGAGACCGGGGTTCAATTCCCTGATGGGGAGCCACTCCCAGCTATGTTCCCTTCCGCCATGGCTATTATTAACCCGTTTACTAACTGCGCTTGTTAAATTATTACAGGTTCATCAGGGAGCACCTCGGATTCCAGTCTTGGGTCAAACTTTCGACATACCTCAGATAGCCCTTCTCCTCTCCTCCATCTGCTCCCTGAATGTTTTCAGAGTGCCCAAACTCCTAGGCTTTACCAACATAGGGGGACCTTCTTCCCTAAGGTCTCCTCCATTCCCTGGTGCTGTATAGCCACCTGAGGCCCCCATGGCACAGCTACGCGCTCTAGTGGTTGTTTTCCGACCCTTTAGCAAAACAGCCAGATCCTCCCGGTTACATCCATCCCACGAGTCACAACAACTGTTGAGATGGTAGCTAGTGGTTGACGTGGAGACAGTGGAGGAGATAGCTGTGTTGCTGTTGAGGTGCCATGAGTGGTCCTCATGACCAAGAGGTTATCTATCTGTCATTCCTCCCACACTCTCTGTCTCCTTCACCGGCCACTTTGGCACAATGACTCAATGGCTTATCAAACCGCCCTCCCCTCTTCTCCTCCCCTTCATCTACACTGATTGGGAAAGACTTGCTAGGTGTAAACAATATGGTGGAAGCTCATCATTAGGCTGGCTTTCACCTGGTCAGGTCTTTCAAATCAGTGCAATGAAGGAGAGGAGGCGAGGAGAGGACAGACTTTTAGACAATGGAGAGAGAGCCAGTGAGTCAGTCCTCTTGTATTAGACACACACACCTCCTGGTCCTCTAGCTGTGACTATGTAAGCAGCTTCCTGATTACTGGAGTGGGACCTTCAGGTACACTGACTAATGAAGAAGACAAGGAAATGAAGACTTTCTCCTCTGCTCCTGGACATGTGTTCATATTCTGACGGAGTGTGTGTGTGTGGGAGAGATGCAGAGTTTACTGAGACTTGCAGCAAAGCAGAACTAATGGCTCTAGCTAGCTACCTACTCTGTGAAGCTAGTTGGGATGTTTTTAATGCCAGTACTTTATGTTGGGGACATATTCAGAGTGATGTGTGTGACTGGACCTTTGAACTCTGGAAAGTGTGTGTGTGTGTGTTTATACACTCTTGAAAAAAAAAGGTTACAATTATAATTATAATAATACAAAAGGGTTATTCGGCTGTCCCCATAGGAGAACCATTTTAGGTTCCAGGGAGAACCCTTTTTGGTTCCATGTAGAACCCTTTTATAGAACCCTCTGTAGAAAGGATCCTACATGGAACCCAAAAGGGTTCTACCTGGAACCAAAAAGGGTTCTTCAAAGGGTTCTACTATGGGGAAAGCGGAAGAACCCTTTTAGATTCTAGGTAGCTCCTTTTTTTCTAAGAGTGTAGGAGCCATACTCTGAGTTTTGACAGGAGCCATACTCGAAGACACCGCTCACCTTTTCTCTTTTCTTCAACCAAGTCCAAAAAAACGGAAGAGTCTCTTGTTCGTCAGAAAGAATGAAAAAATGAACGTCTCTGGAGCACAGAGAGAGAAAAGGCCAGATAAGAATCCCCCGTCTAAGTCTCTCTCATTATACGAGAGGAATGAAAAGAGGCACTTCAGAGGCCAGTCCCCTTTTCTTCTGTCCCCTTTTCATTTTCCCTGTCGTGTGTGTGTGTGTGTGTGTGTGTGTGTGTGTGTGAGCGTGTGTGTGTGAGCGTCGGCGAGGCTGATCTGCTGCTCTGATGGACACGTACAGGATGAAGACAAGGAGGATGATGGCCTGTTTTCTCTTCTCCACTACGAGATGCAACAGATTCTCTCTGCAACAGGAAATCAAAGTAGGCTAATAAATGGCTCTTTTTGAGGTAATAACAAATTAAAATGTCTCTAGTTCCACTCCTAGGACAATCTCAGTCCTCCTGTCAAATTTTGGCTCTGGTAGCCTATCAATATTTTGGTGGTACCTGTAGTTATATGACTTCATTAGTATTTGTATTTATTAGGGATCTCCATTAGCCAAGGCAGCAGCTACTCTTCCTGGGGTCCAAACACATTAAGGCACTTATATCACACATAAAACAAAAGATGAAACAGTACATCATATAACATTATTACACCACTACATATCTACAATACAAAATGTATAATACCACCATACAACAATATTACAATGTACGTGTGTGTAGAGTGCGTGTACTATTGTGTGTGTTCATGATTTAAATTAGACACAATATTCTCTTCCTTCATAGAAAATGTACCATGATATAATTGTAAACCAATACTGTTATAGCCTCATTGCAATATAAGGCTTTCAGAGACAAACAAACCCACACCACTTTCTTCCTCTGATCTGCCTCTCACCCCCACCCCACCCCGACCCCTCACCTTACACCCCCCACCCCTCACCCCTCACCTCTCACCATACACCCCCCACCCCAGCTCAGTCCATGTATCTGCCTGTCCCCTCTACTCACCCCAGAAATCTACCTGTCCCCCACCCCTCCTTACATGCCCCCAGTTCTGCCCCCTTCCTGTAGCTCTGTGTTCCCCTAACAAGGTGCAGCAGGCTTGTCACACTGCATTTGTAGAGCTGGACTGCCTCCTGGGACAGTGTGTGTGTGTGTGTGTGTGTGTGTGTGTGTGTGTGTGTGTGTGTGTGTGTGTGTGTGTGTGTGTGTGTGTGTGTGTGTGTGTGTGTGTGTGTGTGTGTGTGTGTGTGTGTGTGTGTGACTCATTTGTATGCAGGAATGGGAAATTATCACTTCCGTGGAAGCAGGGGTCAATCAAAGCAAATATCCGTCTCGCCGGTCAGTTAATGAGGAAATAATTGTGTTCATCATCCAGACTCCCAGATGATGGAAGGGACACAGCAGAGTATGTGTGGTATGTATGAGAGTGTGTGGTTAATGGTTATGGGCTTGTAGTTAATCGCTGCATCTAATGGAGAGTAATGGGACACTATCACAAGCCTGTCCCTTGTCGGACTTATCTTATCTATCATTGTGTGTGTGTGTGTATATGTGTATGACAAAGTACATCAGTGTATATTTGCATGAGTAGAGTCATTAGAGTCAGTGTACAGTGTGTGAGTGTTTGGTTTCATCAGTCAATCCAAGGTCCAGGGCCTCTATCTGTGAGACTCTAAAAATAACAGTAATGACAGTGCTGAGAATTCTCTGAAAGAGATTCATTACGCCTCGGTTTTAGTTCACCAGTGTTGTGTGTGTGTGTGCGTTTGTCTCTGTGTCTGCGTGTGTCTGTGTGTGTATTTGTCTGACATACTTTCTCCTAACCAAAGCTAGTACCAGACATCCAGATATCCCTACATGCTCATGCTAATTGGGATTTTTCATACCCACCCACCTGCTCCCTCTCACTTCCCTCCCCCTCTCTCTTTCTCTCTATCTGTCTCTGACTGCCTGTCTCTCTCTCTCTCTCTTTCTCTCTTTCTCTCTCTCTTGGACAGATGAAGACCTAAGGGATAGATACTTCTCTGCCAAGGTTGTCTAATGCCATGGCCCAATTAAGACCCTCCCTCTCTAAATTAATGAGGGAGCAGGTCCACCATTTGTCAAACCTGAACACACACACACACACACACACACACACTAGGGTGTGGAGGGTGTAGTCCTATTTATAGATGGGTTGGGTTTCTGATTGTCATTGTATAGCTGGCAGGCTGCTGGTAGCTGGCACAATCTACATCACATTCTCCCTGTGTTTAAATGTAGTCTCACACTCACGTACACACAGTGCTTGAATTGGTCCGGTGCACACCAGCACCTCTAATGTTGTACTGCTTAAGTACCGGTTATATTTCTTATCAGACTGGAGTGTGCCCCGGGGGATAAACACTGCTAGAATATTTGCTCTAAACTATGAACACTGGTACTGTAAAATGTAATTGAGTACCAAAGCCTAAAATGAGTTGCACCTCTTTTATACTGAGATTGAATTTGATAACCAGGGTAGTGTGTTGGTGAGAGTGTATGTTTAGCGTTCTGGGCAGCCCATGGTGCAACCACAATGTTAACCTTAGACTGGAGTGCAGGAAGGGGGATCACCACTCCTAGCATCAAGTTAGTCACTCACAACAGCTGAAGCCAGGGTCCGATTCCACCACTACATACCTTCAGACTCTCTTACTGTTTCCCATCTCCCATAGAACCACTGTGGTAACCTTCAGTTTGAAAAGAGGGCAAGAATTCCTCTGAGAGACAGGGGGGGGACTGAGTGAGAGAGAGGCAGAGGGCTGAGAGAGAGAGAGAGAGAGAGAGAGAGAGAGAGAGAGAGAGAGAGAGAGAGAGAGAGAGAGAGAGCGCGAAGAGATAGAGAGAGATATATGCATAGAGAGATGATAGAGAGAGAGAGACGAGATAGAGAGGATAGAGAGACCTATATAGAGATAATATATAGAAAAACACTCATACAAACACAGAGAGCACTCACACAAAGCACAGAGGATGTATCTAGCTCTGTCTGTCTGTCTGACACACTGAATGATTTGGACCCAGGGGATCTCTGCATGTGTTTGCAAAATGTCCTAAATATTTCACTGAGTTTTCAGTCCTCTGCAGCTCTGAGATTCTCAATGTCACCTTGACTGTCTGGTCAGGTAGGCAGCAGCTCACCAGGGGAAACTGCAGTGGGTTATTTTAGCCTAGATAGATCACTGCTCCCTCCCTCCCTGCCTCCTTACTACTAGTCTACCACTGTGATTTATGATGTCCTGGTCTGAAAACAGAGAGATGAAGGAGTGGAAAAGACACACATGAATGCACACACACACACACACACACACACACACAACCTCTCATTGGATTTGAGCTGTTTCATCCCTCAGGGTCCACCCTACTCACCTTGACACCTATAGGAAAACAAGAAACAAGTAGTGGAAGTGTTACAGCCCTAGTGAGTTGTTGGAGACCACCTTCTGTCAGAGACCTTGGAGGCTTATCATTCATCATCACAATCTTCCCTTGATCAGGCAAATTCATAACACCATAGTCACAGTATATGTTTAGTGAGTTTGAGAATTATCAGAGATTTGCATTGAAAGGTAAACATGCTAGCCCTACTTGGGGGTGTTGTGTAATGTCATTTGCTTAGGATGTAATTTGATGAATGGGTAATTTGATATCCATCCATCTTACATCTCAATATCCGTTTTCAATTATTGGATATATCCTAGACGTCATGTGCAATTATAAGAGATAGTTTGGTTGAGCCAGATAGAACTTTAATCAGTAGGACGTCAGGACCAAGGGGAGCAGTAGGCTACTGCGCCACCCCAGTCCGGATACCCGGGTCATATTTTAAGAGGTGATATAATCAAAATTTAGGGCGATTACATTTTAGGGAGGAAGTCTCGGTGACGTTTCACTTATTCGTTTTCTCTTACCACCTCTCAGTTTTCGGAAAAGTGACGTGCTCCCCACGCGTGACAATGGAGGCGACAGAATTTTTCCCACCTCCTGAAAACTTGACGGCGGTTGTCGTGCACCCGTTATGCGAAGAATGGAAGGGGGGATCCGAGGGTGCCATCTTCCACCTCGCCAGTATCTTCCTTGTTTTGGGGTTCATGGGAGGGAGCGGGTTCTATGGGCTCCTCTACTTGTTTACCTTTCTGACGCTCGGTTTCTTCTGCACAACCATTTGGTCATGGTCGGACGCGTGCACCACCGACACCTTTTTGTGGAATTTCGCTCTTTTTGGGGTATGTGCGGTTCAAGTTGTGCATGTCGCCTACCGGCTGAGGAACGTTACTTTCGAAAAGGAGTTTCAAGATCTGTACAGCTACCTGTTCAAAAAGCTGGGGGTGTCGCTCACCCACTTCGGCAAGATAGTCGCCTGTTGTGAAGGGGACATCCACACCATAGAGAAAGACCACTGTTATGCCATGGAGGGCAAGACTGCTATTGATAAGCTGTCCGTTCTTCTGTCCGGCAGGTGCATTTCAACTTCACTTGTACATTTGATCCAACTGTATTTGATGTTATGTCATATAAGATAGCCTAATGTCCCACTTTTTCTTACAGAATTCGTGTGACAGTAAATGGAGAGTTTTTACATGACATCTATCCTTTCCAGTTTCTCGATTCACCTGAATGGGACTCTCTCCGGCCGTCAGAGGAGGGAGTTTTCCAGGTAAATAGTAAACTGATCCAATAAGCTAATTTTGGCTAATGTGTCTGGCATATACACTGAGTATACAAAACATTAAGAAATATTTGCTCTTTCCATGACATAGACTGACCAGGTGAATCCAGGTGAAAGCTACTGTATGATCCCTTATTGATGTCACTTGTTAAATCCACTTCAATCAGTGTATGTGAAGGGGAGGAGACCGGTTATTTTTAAGCCTTGAGACAATTGAGACATGGATTGTGTATGTGTGCCATTCAGAGGGTGAATGGGCAAGACAAAATATTGAAGTGCCTTTGAACTGGGGTATGGTAGTAGGTGCCAGGCGTACCGGGTTGTATCAAGAACTGCAAGCTGCTGGGTTTTTCACACGCAACAGTTTCCCATGTGTATCAAAAATGGTCCACCACCCAAAGAACATCCAGCCAACTTGACACAACTGTGGGAAGCATTGGAATCAACATTGGCCAACATCCCTGTGGGGGTGCAACTCAATATTAAGAAGGTGTTCTTAATGTTTGGTATACTCAGTGTATAAGCATTAGTGTTTTCTTTCCCCAGGTGACCCTGCGTGCAGATAATGGCTGTAGGTACGTTTCTTGGAGGCGTAAGAAACTGTACCTACTCTTCGCCAAGCACCGCTACATCGCCAAGGTCTTTGCTCTCGTGGTGCGGAATGACATCGCGGACAAGCTGTACTCTCTCAACGACAAGGCGTTCGACAGCCGCGGGTTCCGATATGATCTCCGGTTACCCACCTACTGTCACGTGCCTCCGTTGCCTGAATTAGACCGGACAGATGCGTTCCTACGAGTCCCGGCGCAATATGACCATGGCCACCGTGCCCGTGTCCCTATAACTATAACAGCACCAGAAGAGACTGACTCGTGACTGGAACGGAACTTTTGAATGTTTGTTTTTCATTAATGTATGTTGTTTTTGTCTCTTTGTTATCCTCAAGTGCTTAGGCTATGGATAGGGCATAAGCTATGTAATTTACGCATCAACAAAGACTACATTGTAGCACATGAAGTAACCCTCCACTTGGTTTGCCAGATATCATGCAATAGGCGTGTGTGTGAGAGAGATGTGAGATTGAGAGAAAGAGAGAGAGAGAGTGAGAGAGGAGAGAGATGTGTGTGTGAGAGAGAGAGTGAGAGAGGAGATTTTCTCTGCATCAAAATACCAGTGAAATGTTACCCCTGATTCCTGTTTATGTTTTATAGTGCACTTTACTACCTGCCTGTCTTAAATTGAGACTGTATATTCAATTGTCTGACAGAGTTTTTGTCAATATTTGTGTTTAATAAAAAAGTATTAACAATGCAATGTAGCCCTATACGTTTTGTATGTCGAATAACTTTCATTTGGCCTACAACATTTTCTTCGGGGAGCGTGCATTTCTGTAGAGCAGCCTACAGGTGAGTGTCAATCACCTTCTCGCTCTGATCCTGGCGCTGACCTTGGTGCTGATCTCATTCATATCCGCTCTTGTCAACCTCATCACGCAGCTCATGTCACCTCTGGAGGGTGAAGGACCACTGTTCAATTAGGTTAACCAAAATCTCGAAACACATAACACGATTCACTCGACTGGCTTCATAATATTATTTTCGAGGAGTTGCTGGCTGCAAGGCTATATTTTCAGTTTTCAAAAAGGGAAGTTTTGACCACCTCCTGTTGGCGTGCCCGGACTTTGCAGGTGCGCAGCGGCGGGGTAGTGTTGACTGCTGTCTCCTCGCCGCTTGCCCATTTTAGTCAATGCCTGTCAGCTCGCTGGAATGCGCGACTCACATTGTGCAGCCCCCCAGCTCGCGAGGACCTAAATTTATAGCTCCTCAATACTTGTCCATTGTTTCTTCTCCTTATTCTGTCCAGCGACGCGTTTGATCGATTGTTGTCAGATTGGTAAGTTATATCTCCCATTCTCTGTTATCTTACTCTGACTGAGTGGTGAAAGTAAAGTTGAACGCTCAAACATATTAGGCTATTTCTTAAGACGTCTACCGGTAGGTCCCGTTAATTTTCTGCAAGCAGTGTAGTGTAGCCGACACATTTCGCACTTTTTCCCATTTCCATTTCATAATCTGTATCTGAGGGACTGGCAATCAAATATTGTTGAGCGCTGGTCGGCTGATCTGCTCTAAACCCACTGGAGTTTGGTATTTTCCCACACATGTGTTTGTGTTGCTGCAACATTAAAGTGAAACCCTTCAATGTCACTCCAGTGCTCTATGATCGGTGTGATGAATTCCCAGGCTACTTACAGTATTAAATCAGTTGCACATTTTTTGATGAATCAAATATTATGTTGACAGTGTCAGTAGGCCTACAAGCATCTCAAAGGTGATTCTAATGCATTACTACAAAAATAAAACATTTGGAAATACAGTAATCTGTTATGAAAATCTATTGAAACCTGAGGATATTGAGATTGTGATAGTGACAAACTGATGTACACTATGAGAACAGCAGCAACGTGAATTGAACTTTAAACTGCAAAAATCCCCTGTTTCTATCACCAATCCTGTAACACTTAACTTGAAAGGTACCAACATAATAATACATTCATAATCTGGTACTTACCCCATTCATAAGCAATACATAAACAACCACAATACCCTCCTCACCTCTCTCTAGGTGACCCCTGGGCAGGATCAGGATGTCTGCTTCTCCAGAGATGACCAGTAGCCTGTTCTACATCACCCTGGCCCCACTGCGGTCGGCAGTCCCTGGGTCTGAACCCGAGGCTGGAGGTGGAGGTCTGGTGATGACCACCATGGAGCCCAACGGGACCTCCTGTGAGGAGTGGGAGGAGGCCCACCACCTGCTCTTCCACCTGGGGAACCTGTCTCTCCTCCTGGGCCTGGTCATCCCCACCACCCTGACCCTGCACATGATCCTGCTGCGCTTCATGCTGATGACAGGTGGGTCCATACTGCCCTCTGCTGGCCCAGATTACAGTCCAATTCGGTGGTCATGATAGATTGCATTACACACTTTTCAGTTTCATTACCAGCTCTACTTTCACAGTATCTCTTCCTCACTCTCCAAAGTATTCACTCATTCACTCCCCCTCAAGGATTGATATGCATTGAATTGCTGTTAGAAATATGATAGAAGCACTATAGTGAGTGAACGAGTGCACACTTCGTGGAGAAGGGGGAGTTGCTGCGGTAGTACAGCTGGTAATGAAATTGAAAAGTATGGAATACAACCATATCATGACCACTATGTTGGTGGTAGCACAGTGGGAAAGGCCCTGAGTAGAGTGGAATGATATCATATCATGACCACCATGTTGGTGGAAGCACAGCTGCCTACTGGAGTTTTCTCAAGCTAGTTGAAGAATTTACGGCTATAGGGCAATATGAGGATATAACTCAACCAATAACAACTCAAGTGCGCTTTATTACTTCCTGTTCCTGTCCCTGACAGGAAGCTGTCTGTTCATCACCTGGGCTACGCTGTACCGGTGTAACCTGGATGTCATGGTGTGGAACGTGGTCTTCCTGCTGGTCAACTTCATGCACTTCTTCTACCTGATCTACAAACGCAGACCTGTGAGTTCTGCCCCAACTCAACACATTCCAGTTAGATGCTGATTGTGGTCCATTTATATACAGTACACACATACAGCTTAGAGTAGGTACAAGTTACCTGGAACAGTTATTTTGATGAGGACTTTTGGAGATTCGTTTTCCATTGTGTCTCTCAGCGGGGAGACAGCCAGTCACATGCCCCTGGTGTTGGGGCCACTCTGTCTCTCTCTACCTAAATGAGATGCAGGTCTTTCAAATGCACTGCTGCCACCAGGGGACTTTCAATGTGTAGCGGGCCTTCACATAACTGACAGAATGGGACCACCTGTCCTCATAACGAGAAAGGAAGTTATGTATACTGCAGTCCTCTTCACTCCCATGGGAATGACATACATGAGTGAATTGTGTGCTATCAATTCAATATCAAGGATGAGTAGAATTAGGTGGCCCTCACTTTATGTTGGCTGCTGTGGTGACATTTGATTAAAGACCCTAAAATATACTTAATGCCTGGTTCTTGATAACACGCCCTGTGGCGATCCACCCTGAATCAGGAGCCTAGCTCAAGTCACGTCAATCATCCATCATAACACTTTATATGCCACTTTATCAGCGTATAGACAATGAGCTGTAACCGTACTGTCTTCTGTCAGATTAAGATTGACAGGGATCTGAAGTCAGTGTACAAGCGGATGTTTGAGCCCCTCCACGTGCGCGAGGCCCTGTTCCAGAGACTGACGGGTCAATTCTGCACCATCCAGAGCCTGAAGAAGGGACAGGTGTACGCAGCCGAGGACAAGACCTCCGTGGATGAGCGCCTCAGTATCCTCCTTAAAGGAAAGTAGGTATCACTCTGAGACATCTCCCTGTCACCTATTTACGATGTCATTCCACCCCTGGTTTTCCCTGAATGATGTTTGATCAATAAGGTTTAGCAGTATCTGTGTGCATCTGTGTGCATTTGATCCATCCATGGTCATCCGTGTTGACTATAAGTTTGTGTGCGACAGAATGAAGGTGTCATATCGAGGTCATTTCCTCCATAACATCTACACGAACGCCTTCATCGACTCCCCTGAGTTCAGATCAACCCAGATGCACAGAGGAGAAAAATTCCAGGTAACAAGAAGCTCAGATTATTGAATGTACCATTTATTTATTTATTTTTGATATATAACCCAATTTACCACTTACCCGTATTCCAGTTCATAGTAGTATCCATACTGGGTAGACCAAACAACACAAGTGACGTTGGCATGATTAGATAATGATAGGGCAGGTTTGTTACCATGACAGCCTGTGACTTGTTGATTAATTTACAGGTGACCATCATGGCGGAGGAGAACTGTAAGTTCCTGTGTTGGTCCAGAGAGAGACTCACCTACTTCCTGGAGTCTGACTCCTTCCTTAACGAGGTGTTCAGGTACCTCATTGGCAAAGACATCACCAACAAGCTGTACTCGCTCAATGACCCCACTCTCAGTGACAAGGTGGGTTTAGTCACTGTTCAGAAACTGAGACACTGTAGTTTCTATTGTCTAGAAACACCTTCCTAATGTTGAGTTGCACCCCCTTTTTCCCTCATAACAGCCTCAATTCATTGGGGCATGGACTCTACAAGGTGTCGAAAGCGTTCCACAGGGATGCTGGCCCATGTTGACTCCAATGCTTCACACAGTTGTGTCAAGTTGGCTGGATGTCCTTTGGGTGGTGGACCATTCTTGATACACACGGGAAACTGTTGAGTGTGAAAAACCCAGCAGCGTTACGGTTCTTAACACACTCAAACCGGTGCACCTGGCACCATACCCTGTTCAAAGGCACTTAAAATATTTTGTCTTGTCCATTCACCCTCTGACTGGCACACAAACACAATCCGTGTCTCAACTGTCTCAGGTCTTAAACATCCTTCTTTAACCTGTATCTCCTTCATCTACACTGATTGATTGGGGCGGCAGGTAGCTTAGTGGTTAAGAGCGTTGTGCCAGTAGCTGAAAGGTCGCTGGTTCTAATCCCTGAGCCGACTAGGTGGAAAGTCTGTCGATGTTGCCTTGAGCAAGGCACTTAACCCTAATTGCTCTGGATAAGAGCGTCTGCTAAATGACTAAAATGTAAAATTGAAGTGGATTTAACAGGTGACATCAGTAAGGGATCATAGGATTCACCTGTTCAGTCTGTCATGGAAAGAACAGGTGTTCCTAATGTTTTGTACACTAATTGTGATTTGGTCATTATCCTTCCTAAGTTACAAATTGTCTCCTTAGATTCAAATAACGATGATTATGTAAGAAATGATGATGATGATGGTGGTGGTGACACCGATGATAACAATGATGACAATAACAATAATGATGTTTACATGAACAGGCAGCAAAGAAGATGGAGCGTCAGCCCAGCCTCTGCTCCCAGCTCTCTATGATGCAGATGAGGAACAGCATGGGCAGCACCAGTGACACCGACGACATCCTGAACCAGATCCACCGTGGAGGCTCCAGTGGCTCCTCACATCGTAAGTCTCACCACCTCCCATCAAGCTGTGATACTATTGGCCCATCTGTCAGTGTTTAAACAACCTGATTAGCTATTGAGTCTGAAAAAGACTGACACAATCATTCTCCTAATGCTACCTTTTAATAGTGACAAAGTTTCGATCCACAATGGATCTTTGCCAGGTCAACAGTAGCTGTTATACAGTCACTAAATTTACTGAAATCATGAGGCATTCTGGGTATTTTCAGTTGAGTCCATCTTCGTCATTTACCCCTCATATCCTCTCTGGTGTGTGATGTTAACAGACACTAAATCCTGGTTTATTAGGGGTTTAGCTCCTATCTGACAACATTGTTTTCTAGGGGTTGTGTTCTAGTTAGAGTTGTTCTTTAACATTGTTTCTCCTGTCCCCCCCTCCTCCTCCACCTCCACCTCTAGCTGTGAATCAACCCACTCTCTCAGATCACACCTTGCCCTGAAGGGGGTGTAAGACTATCTCTTTTCTCCCCCTCCCACCCTGAAATTCACCTTCCTAATGCCTGAGTCCAAGATCTGTTTGTGCTGGACAGTTCAAACAGATCTGGGACTCAGGCTAGTTAATTCCCCCAAACCCAACCCTCAATATTTAACCCTACAGCTCTGCACTATGTTGCCTGTTCTAAAACGAGTGATCCCCGGTAACCTGGTTTGTTGTTTTAACATCTTAAAAGTTCACTGTTTAAGAGTAAGACAGCATTCATTCATATCATCCATCCTATAGTAGTAGTGCTGCTGTACAGCTCCTATTGGAACATGTATTTAGACGTACAAGATACTCTTTAATCCCAATAGCTTTTACATTATCATGTTGCAATTTCCATATCAAATGTAGGGGTTGAATTGCAAAGTTGACTGATATGTCAGGAAAAGTATTCAGAATGCTTTTTTTTTTCTTACCATGCTGATTTAACTTCACACTGTCTTCCCTCTGTCTCCAACACAAACATACAGTATGTGAAATTAGGGGCCTATGTGTGAGCCTATGTGTGTATTCTGTCAAATGTGTGGTTGTGATTCTGTTTTGTTTTTAAAGGATTGCCATATGAGTCAGAATGAAGGCTTGTGGAATTTGTGACCTATGACAACCTCGTTTGTGTCACCTTTATAGTGTGTTTGTCTGTGACCATATGAAGATGGTTACCTTGGAAACACACACAGTTACATTGAAAACACACACACACACCTCTATTCCCACGCTAACTGATGTGTCCTTCTTTCCAGAAAAATCTCCTGCCTCCAAGACATCCAAAATGATGAAGCCCATTGAAGAAACGATGGAAGACGACGTCTTTATAGAGTCTGAGCCAGACTCTCCTGTTAAGAAACGCCACACCCACTCAACAGCCATAGAGGAGGTGTAACGAGATGTGACATTAACCTACAACAACAGTGCTGACCACCCACCTATCTGTAACCTGATACAGAACCTGGTTAGTTATAGTAGAATAACTTAAACAATAGCTTGAAAAAGGCTTCTACATTATCAAAATATCTACAGTGGGGAGAACAAGTATTTGATACACTGCCGATTTTGCAGGTTTTTCTATTTACAAAGCATGTAGAGGTCTGTAATTTTTGTCATAGGTACACTTTAACTGTGAGAGACGGAATCTAAAACAAAAATCCAGAAAATCACTTTGTATGATTTGTAAGTAATGAATTTGCATTTTATTGCATGACATAAGTATTTGATACATCAGAAAAGCAGAACTTAATATTTGGTACAGAAACCTTTGTTTGCAATTACAGAGATCATACGTTTCCTGTAGGTCTTGACCAGGTTTGCACACACTGCAGCAGGGATTTTGGCCCACACCTCCATACAGACCTTCTCCAGATCCTTCAGGTTTCGGGGCTGTCGCTGGGCAATACGGACTTTCAGCTCCCTCCAAAGATTTTCTATTGGGTTCAGGTCTGGAGACTGGCTAGGCCACTCCAGGACCTTGAGATGCTTCTTACGGAGCCACTCCTTAGTTGCCCTGGCTGTGTGTTTCGGGTCGTTGTCATGCTAGAAGACCCAGCCACGACCCATCTTCAATGCTCTTACTGAGGGAAGGAGGTTGTTGGCCAAGATCTCGCGATACATGGCCCCATCCATCCTCCCCTCAATACGGTGCAGTTCGTCCTGTCCCCTTTGCAGAAAAGCATCCCCAAAGAATGATGTTTCCACCTCCACGCTTCATGGTTGGGATGGTGTTCTTGGGGTTGTACTCATCCTTCTTCTTCCTCCAAACACGGCGAGTGGAGTTTAGACCAAAAAGCTCTATTTTTGTCTCATCAGACCACATGACCTTCTCCCATTCCTCCTCTGGATCATCCAGATGGTCATTGGCAAACTTCAGACGGGCCTGGACATGCGCTGGCTTGAGCAGGGGGACCTTGCGTGCGCTGCAGGATTTTAATCCATGACGGCGTAGTGTGTTACTAATGGTTTTCTTTGAGACTGTGGTCCCAGCTCTCTTCAGGTCATTGACCAGGTCCTGCCGTGTAGTTCTGGGCTGATCCATCACCTTCCTCATGATCATTGATGCCCCACGAGGTGAGATCTTGCATGGAGCCCCAGACCGAGGGTGATTGACCGTCATCTTGAACTTCTCACCAAGCTGCTTGCTTATTGTCCTGTAGCCCATCCCAGCCTTGTGCAGGTCTACAATTTTATCCCTGATGTCCTTACACAGCTCTCTGGTCTTGGCCATTGTGGAGAGGTTGGAGTCTGTTTGATTGAGTTTGTGGACAGGTGTCTTTTATACAGGTAACGAGTTCAAACAGGTGCAGTTAATACAGGTAATGAGTGGAGAACAGGAGGGCTTCTTAAAGAAAAACTAACAGGTCTGTGAGAGCCGGAATTCTTACTGGTTGGTAGGTGATCAAATACTTATGTCATGCAATAAAATGCAAATGTATTACTTAAAAATCATACAATGTGATTTTCTGGATTTTTGTTTTAGATTCCATCTCTCACAGTTGAAGTGTACCTATGATAAAAATGAGAGACCTCTACATGCTTTGTAAGTAGGAAAACCTGCAAAATCGGCAGTGTATCAAATACTTGTTCTCCCCACTGTATTTAAATGTATCTGGAAAACAGAACTGTACATTTTGGCATCTCACTTTGTCTTGTAGTGTTTGTGAGTTTGTAACTGTTGTACTTTTTAAATCCTGTTTGATTGGATGTTGTACAATGCCTTTGATGTTCATTCATTAGCGCTTATACTCAGTGTGTTCAAAAAGTATTCCATGTGTCACAACCAAAACATTTTAGTGTAAGCACAAACTCTAAGGAAGGTTTATTTTAAACCTTTTACTCATTGTGTGACATATTGTGTGATGAATTCTCTTATTTATGCATTGAGCTTCTGCACTGTTGTTTTGATGAATGTGGAAATTTAACAAGTTAAACCTCCTGGTCAATGCTAACCATTTGAGGCTGTTGTGCTGTTTTTTTCACGGCTATAAGTACACAAGCTTGGTATCACTTTTTTTATGCCATGATAGTAAGCTTATATTAATTACTCAGAGGGAACACTTGAAAAAGAAATCAGCAGAATTGATGGAAAGCTCTGCTTTTTGTCCTCTATCGCCATCTAGGAGCTATTATGAGTACTACCGGTTTCTTTTCTCAGTCTGAACTACTGTCACTGTTTAAACGAGGTCAATGTTCAAACTCATTCCATGGAGGGCCTAGTGTCTGCGTGTTTTTGGTTTTTCCTTTCAATTAAGACCTAGACAACCAAATGAGGGGAGTTGTTTACTAATTAGTGACCTTAATTCATCAATCAAGTACGAGGAGCCAAACAGAAACTCGTCCCTCCGTGGAATGAGTTTGACACGTGGTTTAAACCATCACATGTCTGAAAGATCAACCAGACCAAAAGAAGAGGTTAGCAACAGGCTTTATTATTTCAGTCAAATAAACCTTTTGAATATCTCAGACAAACCATGATTGATGTAACAACATTTTTTTTTGAATACAATGAATGAATGACAGGCCAACAGGAAAACAATACAACAGATATCAGTGCTCTTTTGAGACGTTAAGACAATCTTCTGCTTTGGAGGAACACTTGATTGTACAATACAACCACAGCACTGAAAATACATACATACACAAGCTTTTATTTTTTTACAAAAAACGTGACAAAGTCCCTCACATCACAATAGTGGGCAACTCAACAGTGCTTTCTGGGTTGTCTTTGGAGCATATATCTCCACAATAAGTGCTTTGGTTCAGTCTGAATCCACAGGGCTGTCTCAACTATTACAGAAATGTTGCAGAATAGTTGGGGTCCATTCCATTTCCATTCAGTCAATTCAGGATGTCAACTGAAAATTCAATTCCATTTTTCCTCATTGCTTTACAATGATGAAAAATGGAATTGGAATTTTAGTTTCCAACCTGAATTGACTGAATTGAAATGGAATGGACCCCTACCCTGTTACATAACCATGAGTTAGCGATTCTCTGTTGCTTATCTGTTATGAATTGATCATTAATACACACGATTAGATGATATGATCCATACAAGGTTAAAACAATATCAGTAGCTACATCAATCTCGGAGGACCGCACATAACAGAGAGGATAAAACACACACATCACTGAGATGTTTAAGTTTTCATGTAAACAAAAAAAGACAAAATCATAAATTGTTTGTGAGATGAGTTTTGACAGAAACCATATTGCAACTCAATATTAGGAAGGTGTTCTTAATGTTTTGTACACTCAATGTAATAGGCCTGTGTGTAGGATTGTAATGTTTGAGGTATTACTTCACAGTATTGTCCTTTGTCTAAGTGATGTGACCAAGGAATGCTAAGACCAAAACAGAAACCATAAGGTAAACAGAATATAAATTACCCGAACTGACCACTAGATGGTGGTATGAACTTACAATAATGCACAGGTTCAGACAGGTGTGGCCAGGTGCTTTTACAATGTAACATGGAAATAATAACAGTATGTATACCTAGAACTCAGAGGTAGTTACTAATATCAGTACATAAGTCTATAGAGTTGAACACTAACTCGATATCACATGGTTTGCTTAAAACAAAAACAAATTAAGTTCTATGATGATGATTCCCCTCAAAATGAAAGGTAAACTTTTTGGTAAGTTCCCTGAGAACATTCTATCTCCTGAGAGAAAATATTAAATTTGAGGCCTCCAGGAATCTAGTTTGGTTTGTGCTAATGTTTGATTATATATACAATCTATGATAATAACACGTATTAACTGTCAGTAAACATAGTAGAGCCTTGATGTTCAATTCATAACTGCATTATACAAAATATCAGTGCTTTGTTTCTTTTTTGTATTTTTACCCCCCTTTTCTCCCCAATTTCGATCTTGTCTCATCGCTGCAACTCCCCAACGGGTGGCGAAGGTCGAGTCATGCGTCCTCCGAAACATGACCCGCCAAACCGTGCTTCTTAACACCCGCCATCTTAACCCGGAAGCCAGCCACACCAATGTGTCGGAGGAAACACCACTGAACTGACGACTGAGGTCAGCCTGCAGGCGCCCGACCCGCCACAAGGATTCACTACAGCGCGATGAGCCAAGTAAAGCCCCCCCCGGCCAAACCCTCCCCTAACCTGGACCAGTTGTGCACCGCCCTCTCCCGACCTAGGCCGGTTGTGATACAGCCCGGAATCGAACCCTGCGATGCAGTGCCTTACGCTTTGAACACACCGACTGTGTCATTGCGCAAAATAGTATGCAGCATCATCTAGATATGTGTGCAACAAAAGTTCAACATTCACCTTCTGCTACCATTTCTGTCAACCCGTTTACGCATACAGTTTGACGCATATGTTCGATAAATCCAACGTATGCACCACACAGAACGCACTGCAGCTGCCTCTGCAACGCAATGCTGCAAGGCAAACACAGCGTTCCATTGGAAAGGAATGTACTTCTGGTGTACCAAAACGCAATGACACAGTCGGTTTGTTCAAAGCGTTGGTTAGACCGCTGCGCCACTTGGGAGGCCCCAGTGCTTTGTTTCATGCAGTATTATGCCCTTCAGTCACACAGTAATCAAAGGGTGGAAGGCAAACATTTCACCTCATTGATTATTTGTCATCTTACACTTCCTACTAAGGTCATTTGATTAGATTGAGTTTGATTTGTCAACACACATTAAGAAGTGACTGCTCCGATGATACCTTTTAACAGTCAGTCAGTGTAGCCGTACCCTGTGGGAGAGTGAGTATGGTCTTGATATTGTGTGAGTAAAGTTAAAAGAAACATAAACCATGTCTCCTTATAAATGCATTCAACATACATCTTAATATTTACATTCAGTATTCTTATTGATGAGGATGAATGAGGCCATATGAGAAGGCACTTTATGCTACTTCTTCATTGCCTTGAACAGACAAATTATCATATTAGCATTGGTTTAGTCAGAAACAGTTTCCCAGACACAGATCTAGTCTAGTCCTGGACTAAAAAGCACGTTCAATGACTTATCACGATTCTCCATTGAAAGGGCGTTTTAGTCTAAGACTAGACTTAATCTGTGTCCGGTAAACCGAGCCTAATAAGTTTGTTTGGGTGTCTTTGGCGACCGATGAAAAATGCACAGAGAAAACAAAGGCTCATAATCGCCCTGTGTAGTTCTCCAAAATAGAGAAAGATCTGAGAAATACTTCCCGTTGGATCACGTGAATGGTGAATCCAGGTGAATGGTGAATTTGAGTAGACTGAGCTTTGGGACAATAAAGTTCAGATGAGGAAAATGATCAAAAAAGAAAGAACAAGATTGCTTTGGTTGTTTGTGTGTCAGTCCCATTCCCAGTTGTCTTCTTATTGCAACAGATAATAGAGCGGATGTCCATGACTTTGATCTGACTCAGCGATGGAAACACAAGAGTGACTGACCATCCTTGTGCTACCAGTCTGAGGTAGATGAGGCTGAAGCTTTACCCTTGGATCCAATGGTGCTATCATGGTACAGTTTGGTAGGGGAGATGGATTGAGTTGGCCCAGGAGGTAGCTAAGATTATAGATCTATCTATGTGGAGATGGATTGAGTTGGCCCAGGAGGTAGCTAAGATTATAGGTCTATCTATGTGGAGATGGATTGCGTTGGCCCAGGAGGTAGCTAAAATGTACACAGTTTGGTAGAGGGAGAGTCGGGGAGTCGGGGAGGGATTGGGGAAGTCAAATAGATACTTGACTGTCCATTTGGTTAGAAATGTGGATCTGCTTGAGGTTGCTCAGGAGGTAGCTAAGGATGTGTCTGCGTGAGGAGGAGACTGATCAGACTGAAGGAAGGTGGTTTTATTGGACCAGAGGTAATACTAAGAGGTGGCATCCGTCCATGATGGATCAGGATTGTTTCCACCTGTGGTGCCCTCCAGAACTCCTCTGGTTCTGTGCCGGGTCTTCCGGAGAGCTGGAGGACTTGCTGAGGGGGGAGGAATTGTCCTGAGAGGGCTGGGAGTGCCTGTTTCCATGCCTGGGACTGGGGTTGTAGGAGGTGGTGGAGGAGGTAGAGGGATACTGGTCCACAGTAGTGTGTCTTCCCTGAGTGGCTGCGGCCCGGCCGGGAGATAAGGGGCCGGGGGGGCGGTGAGGACAGTGGGCCACCATGTGCGTCGCGCTTTGGCAGTAGTGGCACTTCTTTGGCTGGGGCGGCAGGCCACACTCTTTGGCATGGTGGTCTAGTCCTCCACAGTTATAGCATCTGAGACACAGAGAGAGGAGATTCTTGTCACATTCCAATTCACAAACAAGCAGTTTCTTTCAACTTCAGGGCTTAAAGTGTGTATTTATTCTGAAATAAAATAATAATACCTAGAACTTATATGGGATATCATTACATTTTCTCTAGAATGTAATGCATTATGGTACAAATCCAGTTATAACATGCTTACTAGATTGGTTGAATTATATTTTCCCAAAATCTGTTGGTCCAAATGTATCCTTTAGATGGCAGCATCTCACATAGAATACACCATAGAATACACATAAAATACACTATAGAATACACCATAGAATACACATAATATACACTATAGAATACACTATAGAATACACCATAGAATACACATAAAATACACCAATACTGAACCTTTAACAGAAAACAGCTAAAGCGACAAATGCAAATACAAGACTTCTCATATGTGTTCTCATCAAGAGAAGACAAATCAAACAAATAGATAAATAGCTTATTATTTTCCCTGATAAAATGCGCTTTAATAACAAAGTTGCCCACGTGCTGATATGTATAGCTTACTGCCAAATGTCTATAGAAATGCAGTATGTCAACAACTCAGGCCTAAGACCTGCAATAAATAACCAAGAAGCTGCTCAAGGGCGGAAACAATGACAATGCGAAACATTGATGACAGGGCAAAACAAAGCAGGACTCCACACAGGGAACAAAGGCCTGTCACATGGTCTGTTTTACTGGCTCAAAAAGGAAGCTATTCAATTAACTGGTTAATATAAAAGTAAATCATACCAATTCATTAGCAATAGACCTGATCATTAGATATCACATCATAATTAGATAGGATCATTATGACATTATTAACTTGCAGTCAGATGTTATAAGGTATAAGGTGGTCCTCTGTAGCTCAATTGGTTGAGCATGGCGCTTGTAACGCCAGGGTAGTGGGTTCGATTCCCGGGACCACCCATACGTAAACATTTATGCACACATGACTGTAAGTCGCTTTGGATAAAAGCGTCTGCTAAATGGCATATTATTATTCAGGTCGGTCACCCAAAAAGTTACATATTGCAGTTTTAACTCTTTCAGATGGAAACAAAGTGTTTCGCATGACTGAGCTGGAGGTTTGCAGGGGGTCCCTCTCGGTGGCATCTTCAATTAGAACATGCGAGGGGGGAGAGGACAGGAGAGAGGAGGGAAGGAGAGGGGGAAGGGCATTGGAATTTAGGTTTCATCCACGCTAGTTCGCTTACTTGGGAGGCTACCTACCAATACCCCCTCCTCCACTCCCCAACCCCCACCACATAGACTCCCATTCTAGCTGGTAAGAGCGAATAACCAGTTTTCACAAGACAAACTGCCATGCTAGTAGTCAAGGTTTCACAAGTGTTGCAGAATCTATGTTTTTATAACATAGCAATCACATAGGCAGGCACTGTTTAGATACATGGTTACATAGTTCCCACAACTTTTATGTTTGCATAATTTCTAATACTTGCACAGAACAACAAATCAGCTGAGGTTTGACTTTCAAGTCAACCAATAACTCAAGTGAAGAGAAACATGTTGGCACAATTTATTTGTACATTCCAAAATGTTCAAATATTGTCAATGTTTATAAGATCAGGGAGCCAAGAGTTTAACTGTGTAACACTGTAATACATCAATCCATTAAATAAAAAATATAAATGGTGGTGATGTTACTAAAGGGAATGTAGTGTTTATAAATGTGTTTAACCTGCCTACTTGGATCTAACCAGCAGCTTTTTTACTGACCCAGAAAGGTCAGGAGTTAGAGGTCAACACACACTGACCTCAACATATTTCTATTCCTGCCTTTGAAGAAAGATCCCTCTGACATTATAACAATGGGGAGGGAAATTAGGATGAAATGTCTACACAAAAAAGAGGTTGTTTACTCTTTATTACGAGTATACATTGTTATATAAATTTCATAATTGATGTAGCATAGGCCTAACTCAGTACATACAATTAGTATCCACCATAACACAACATGATGCAATATAACATCACCTAACATGATCAGTAAAAAGCAATCCTGTATAAACTAGAATGCCTGTTTCTGAGAATTCCTCTTCAGTCTAAAGTGATATTTGCTATACATTACAACATTGCATCTGGTTGGGAAACAGCTGTTAAAACAGCTGTTCCTATCACCAATCCATGTCAGTGGAGTGAAGGACAAATCTGTATTCAAAGCAAATAGCAGCCAGCAGTAGAGCCTCAAAACCAACCATCACAGAAATAGTAGCACTTAGACTGACTAGACCGACGTCATACAATATTGCCGTAAAACCATGGCAACTGGAGCCCTATAGAATAACAGTTTGGGTGGAAATGCAGCCCCACACAGGAAAGGTCCAGCACAATCACATTCATTACTAATACTAAACTCATCATACAGTACATTTGACCTCTAGAGGAACACCATGCAACAGAACCCCTACAAATGTTTACCTATTACATAGTGTAAATAATGCAGCAGGTATAATCCACACAGAACCTCTGAATCATACACAGGTAAATACAAACATGCAGCTCCTGCTAAATAGATTACATCAATGCACACACACATGCAAGTATGCACACACAAACCCACAGACACACACACACACACACAAATACACCACTAATGATCACTGCAGTACTACCCCATTCCCATCAACATCATTATCTGTTCTGTTGCCAGTCTCAGTCTCAATTCCTTCCCTGCTGTAGCAGGTCTTAATCACTCCATTTTCACCCATAACAGAACATTGAATTGAAAGGAAAGTCTGTTCTAGTAATTCTATTTCTATGGTACACTCACCGGTCTCCCTTTGGCTTCCATTTCTGCGTTGGGGCCGGGGGCTTGGGTTTCTGCCTCCTCTCACTGCCCGAGCAGGGGCCTCCCCCGGGGCCCGTGACCCGTACAGACTCCAGGCCCCTGGGGGACCTCTGGAAGGTGAACTCTAGTGGCTCTCCCTCCCGCAGGCTGCGGAAGCCCTCCATGTGCAGTTTGCTCTGGGATAGGAGAAGGAGGATAGGCCAGGGGCCGGATAGGGAGAAGAGGACACAGGTTACACAGGGATCTCATGGTCTAGTCACATGCAGCAAAACTAAATCAACCCACCTCTCCATCTAGGTCTCAATCAATCTCATATTCATCCATCTACATCACATTTGATAACTTGCTACCATGTATCCAAATATGTGCTTGAAGATTACTTGTATGGTAAAGACTGACATAGCCGTCCTAATGGCTGATCCCTACAGTCACTTGCTCCCTGCCATTCCCTGGGTCTGTCGCTGTGGACTGAGCACATTGGTTCACTTACTATACCAAAGGATTCAGATTGACTTTAGCACACTACAGCAGAACACCACACTTTCCAGAATAGACCCACAATCTCTTCACTTCTTTGAGGGAATTTTAGATCTTTACACAGACCCACAGAGCCACAGGACAGGGAATAGCTGTCCTTTGAGCAGGATATTGTTAATAAGAAGTAGAAAACGAGGAAATGTTGGTGTAACATTTACATTTTAGTCTTTTAGCAGACGCTCTTATCCAGAGCAACTTACACTTAATGCATTCATCTTAATGTAGCTAGGTACGAAAACCACATCTCACATTCGTAGTAAGTAAAATGTAGCCCTGTGTAGCTCAGTTGGTAGAGCATGGCGCTTGCAACGCCAGGGTTGTGGGTTCGATTCCCACGGGGGGCCAGTATGAAAACAATTAAATGAATGCACTCACTAACTGTAAGTCGCTCTGGATAAGAGCGTCTGTTAAATGAGTAAAATGTAGAACTTTCCTCAATAAAGCAGCTATCAGCAAAGTCAGTACCAGTAAGAAAAGGTCCGTTTTAGTCTTACATGATGATCTGTGAACTCAGTCATCGGAATCTTAGGCATTCAGTTAATATAGATCACAAAATGTTTCTACAATTATTTAATGGCAAGTGAAACAAAGGATTTTGGTGTAAAAAATGCATTTGTTGAATATAAACTTGCAATAACAAATATATTATAATTCCTACTATTATCATCACTCTTATCCCATTATAAAATACAAAATCATACTTTTTACAGGTATAAAATATGTATAAAAAACTAAATCATATCTTACTGTTTGTGAAACTTTAAAACAGTTGGTTCCCTTTCCTTATTTGTTAGAAACATAATTGTATGTATGATCTATTCATGTGTCAAATAATAATCATTGCTTGTTTGAGGTTCATGAGTTTAAAAAAATAAATGTCATCCATCAAAGAAAAACACAATTACCAAATAGCAAATACTATTTCACAATTATTTTATTATAAAAATGTAAATAGTAGGCATATATAGTATATAAACAGTATATTAATGGTAATACTATTACACAGATAATTTAGGTTTTGAATATATTCAAATAATATCCTAATAATCTCTCAATTAGAGATTTATTCCTTTTCTTAAACAACTTTTTTAAAACAACTTTTACTATTTACTATTTTACATCTAATTACATTTTCATTGATCTTGCCCAAAATAAATGTTTACAAAATTAATTCATACATTTACAGCTACTGTTACCTCAACAACAGCATTAATTAAGCCAATTTATCCCCAGTTCACAATACATAATAACTTTTTCTAATACACAAAGGGGATACCACTGATTAAAACAAACATTATTTGACTTCTGTGAAAGTTATGTTTACAGTAACATAAATTATTGCGGTATAACTCATGAATCCTGATGAAACAACATGCAACTAAACTTAACCCTAGTTCATCTTTACAGAGGCCAACAAAACTCATCTAGCCCATATTTCTACTAGTCACTCGCAGTCACTGATTTGAGTTTCAACAGAAGTCAAAGCATATAGGTTCAGGCTCCCAAAGGGAATGGGATTCTCTGCTCCAGACACCTTGTCCTCCTCCTGACATATCTGAGCCATCAGCCCTCAGCCCTCAGCCCAGCTCTCTGTTAGCCCTGCTGGAGCCACCTAAACTCTGGGCTACCACAGACCAACCCAGCACAGCAGCCATTTTGCTTGTTTTCGATTGGGGGAGGGTGTAAGTCGGCCTGGAGAATGTGGGAATTAAAAAGGGCATAGAAGAGAAGGGAAAGACAGAAAAAGAGATCAAGGAGAAAGGAGGGACATGAGAACGAGGAAGGGGTGCGGGGTATATACAGTACTTTAATTTAATTTTTTCAGCACAGTGTCTATTTACTAGCTCTTCCAATAGTGGAGGAAGCTTTTGCCACTGGACGGCTTGATTGAGAGAAACGTGATATGAATGAGAGGGTTGGAGAGGACAGACATGTTGAAAAAATGACAAAACCCTAGAGTTCAGGCTGGGTCAGGCCTCAGCTAGTTTAACTCCTGAATATACCACAGGCATTTGTTGAGCTTCAAATGTTTCATCGTCAACAGATTACAACAAATTCCCAGTTTAAAGAGAGCAATTCCCCCACTTGAAGCAGTACTTCAGGACATTCTACAAATCCATATGTGGTCTCTCCACAGTCCTCTCTACAGAGGCATCATGTTACTCATTTGTTAGTCACATTCAAGCTATGCAAGGGAACCTACAGTATATAAATCCACGTAAATTTGTGAAACATTCCCAGAAATCAGTCTCATGTACCCAGTTAAAATTAATTGTAATTGCAGAGTCTCGAAAGCCCATGGAGACAGTGATTCAACATCAAACAGAAGCAGTGGTCAAAAGCACACAGACAGATAACATCCTGCAACTGTATTGCTCCAACAGTGTCGGTTAGCAGTTAGCTGCACTGTCGTCATATGCATTTCATCAGCTGGCCATAGAAATCAGTCTACTCTAGTTTCAGTCCCTCTATCAACAGATGACTCACTGTAAGGAGGAAGTCATGTGAACACAAGTAGGTAGCAATTTTTTATTTTATTTTGAGGGAAAAAAACCAACCAGGAAGAGGAAGAAACAAAGACTGGTATTAGCCCTGGAAGGAAGGAGGAGCCTGCCAAACACACAGTGAGATGAGATGGACTGATGGGCGGTCATAACCAAGGATCCACTCCAGCCAGTCTCTCATCGCATCATACACTATGTCCCCCACCACACCACTCCCCAAGCCTATGCTGCCCAAGCAAATCCTACTACATTTACATTTTAGTCATTTAGCAGACACTCTTATCCAGAGCAACTTACAGTAGTAAGTGCATACATTTTCGTACTGGTCCCGTGGGAATCTAACCCACAACCCTGGCATTGCAAGATCCAACTGATCTGCACGGGACGGGGATTGGGCAAGCTAAATCAAGCACACCTAAAATGTGGCAATTTGTTTGTGTATTGGATGGAATTCTGGCTCTGATTGGGCTGTAAAGTGTCAATAGAATCTCGCAAAATGGCACAGGATGGTGAAGGAAGCCAGTGCTATAACATACACAGTCTAAAGCCCACACAGGAGTTAAATAATGTCCAAAACCTGGTTGTGAAGTTGGCCTCTAAGCACATGGTTAACCTGACCACCACCATGCATGCACCACCCATCTTTTCTTTGGCTACAGAAAACCCCCTCTTATAGAGAGGCCCTTCCTCCTGTCTTCTGGGTCTATAAAACATGACGATTAACATCTATCAATCAACCATTTTTACAATGCAAAACCTATATTACTATAACAATTTTCCAAATGTTAAATATTTCCTGTAGGCCTACAGACATCCTAAATGACAGCTCATTCATGAGGACTCAGAATCTATGATACTCCTGATGCTACAACTTAGGTGTTACAATGTTACCACTGCCCCTCAACAATGTGCATGTGTCTCAGAGACATGTGATAGAGATACAAACTATCCAATAGCCTGCACTGTGTGGTCACCCTGTATAGGAGTGGGACAATTTGTATCCAGCTCGTGTAGACATGAGGTTTCAGCTTGACTATCTATTGGCTGATTATTTGTATCCATAGATGGTTCAACTTAACTTACTTGGTGAACAAATACATCCATAGCAGGATCTACGGGAGTTCCCCCACGACTAGTCATGGATATAAACCCGAAGCCCATCCGCACATTGAACCACTTGCAGTGGCCAGCGCCGTGCATGGACTGTTGCTGCCCACCCTGCAAGGATCCGGGCTCCTCTCCTCTTTCGCCACCTTTGCCCACCCCTCCTGAAAGCAAGTTGAAAATACAATGTTAAAACATCAATTAAATCATTTCCCATTCGTTTCAGTAAAACTTATTTGGGCAAATTATTCCACTTCTAAAATGTATTCTGTCATGTCCACAGTTCATATGCAAAGTATTTATTTTCCAGAGCGGCCAGGCATCTGATAAATCATAGGCTACTTCAACTTCGATATTGAAGTGTTTATATATCAGCTATGAACTTTCACCTGCACCAGCATCACTTTTAATTTTCTAACAACAAGGGTGAAATAACTTTGTATTTGACGCAAAGGACAGGTGTCCATTGTCACCCATGAACCTCTGCAAAAAGCGCACAAAAAAACTCAAGTATATAGAAATAGCAAACGCCGTGGCGGTGTATGCTACATAACACAACATATTGGACAGAGATACCCAACAACATCTCGGAGGCTACAGTCAGTCCCCTCTCCTTTCCCAGGAAAGAGGGACGGCAGAGAGACAATCTAAGCAGATATACATAGAATATAGAATAACCTTCGGCCATGTTTCCCTGCCAAGTTTCCGCTCCAACCTTCGGTGATTTAAGCCCTGCTGGTCTTGATATTGTTTATTCTTCTGCATCAGCCGAATATTCTAATTCAAGCAACAATACTTTAGCGTGCATGATCCACCGTACGTCCCCCCATAGATTTTCAGGATATTCTTCTATGGTTTTCGCTTGCTCTGTTCACGTGACTCTGTCAATTTACATGCTTTCTGGCTACTATTATGTTCGGTCGGTGCAATACGGGATCCTTAGGACGTCCCTACCCAATTGAAGTTGAAATGTAAAATGGTTAAGGTAAGGGTTAAGGTAAGCAGAAATATCTCACAGATAGGCGTATGTGTTCCTTGCATGGTACACATTTAACAGGCTGCATAAAGACTATTCGTACGTAATAACACCTGGTTTTAATAAAATATTATAATAGAATTGTCGAAATAAAAACGATTACCCCGATAATTAGACCATGTCATAAATAACATGACAGAGGGTTCAAAACACAGAGGTTAGCCAGGGCGAAGGTTAGGGGAATTCTTCATGAAGGGGAGTGGGGGAGAAATACTCCCAATACCATGTAAACACGCCCACACTGCTGCAGGAATTCCCTGATGGACCCCAGCCCCCACCTCAGCCCCCACCTCACACTTCAACCCGCCTTCAAGTTGTGTTTGTGAAGATGCAGAATATGAGAGGAATAGGAGCTCAGCACAAACGCAGCGTGGAACATTAGGCCAGAATGACCAGGCAGCAGCCGTATCAGATGTTACCGAAGCAGTTATTTTCTCAGGTATCATTTGGGGGATAAATGCATCCAACTGAGTCAGCGCCTATTGGGAAGATTGAGGAGGATTTGGAAACAGAAAACTCAGACTATAGCCTTATGTGTTGTGTGCATGATATAAACGGTGAGGACAGAGGGTAAAACATAATCAGCCCATGTATAGTCACAGTTATGAGGTGAAAGTAGCCATGCATAATTGGTAATGTGCTTGGTACTTCTCAGTTCTTAACGCTTTTCAACCAGAAATGCCGAGGCCACCCGAGAGCCTCTCTCTCTCTCTCTCTCTCTCTCTCATTTAATTTTATCGAGTTCATTGGGTTTCATTCCATTTTCTACCATTGAGCACTTTTTTTGCAGTCTAGCTTTTGAGTGCCAACAAGGTTCACATTGCTCAAAAAATCATTAGGCTGCTACCAACATTAACAACTCTAAGTAATGTAGAAAACTACAATTTAACTGTTTAAACTACAATGTAAAGTATAAATATATCATAATCAGATTGTACACATTATATTTAGATCGAATGTCTCTTTTTTTAACAGTTTTGTGAGAAAACCATGCGTAAAATGGGCTCTACATCCATATAGTTTTGCGCAAATGTCGATTGTATTGCCTAATCTTGTAACCCTTTCCGATAATCTGAGATCCTTTCCGAGTGATATTGTGGGTCCTTATAATGTATGGTGATAATCAGGACATTTTTTCCATTCAAAGTGAGTGGCTGGGAGGGGCCCGGGCATTGATGGAAGAGGGGCAAGGATTAACGTTAGGGGGTTAACAGAGGACGCCGAGGGTTCCTCTGGCTCATGTTGATCTCTTCCAATGCATTAGCAGGTCGAGATAGTGAAACGGGGAACGAATGATTCGATTTTAAATAAAGGTAAGAAATTCGCAATTGGAATCAAATGAAGATTGTGGACCTTTTATTTTGGTGCATGTGTAAACTATTGGTCGTTCTCTGAGGCTACCGCTTGGCTAAACTGCTGAGCTCAATGAGGTTATATCTTAGGTTTTAAATCTTTAGTCCGTCAAGTTTTGAAATACACAATTGTGCCCAATAAATCAGATTATGGATATTAAAAACGTTATGTTGAAACAAATGAAAGGGAAATTAAATATTGGACAATTAATCTATTTAAACCATATGGTAGAATAACTAAGTCTCAAACATACTGAACAAAAATATAAACGCAACATGTAAAGTGTTGGTCCCATGTCCTCATGAGCTGAAATAAAAGATCCCAGAAATTTTCCATAGGCACAAAAAGCTTATTTATCAAATTTTTTTGGCACAAATTTCTTTACATAATAATAATAATAATAATTTACATCCCTGTTAGTGAGCATTTCTCTTTTGTCAAGATAGTTCCTCCACCTGACAGGTGTGGCATATCAAGAAGCTGATTAAACAGCATGATCATTACACAGGTGCACCTTGTACTGAGGCCAATAAAAGGCCACTCTATAATGTGCAGTTTTGTCACACAACACAATGCCTCTGATAGCTCAAGTTTTGAGGGAGTGTGCAATTGGCATGCTGACTGAGGAATGTCCACCAGAGCTGTTTCCAGAGAAGTTAATGTTAATTTCTCTACCATTTCTCTACCAATGTCGTTTTTTGAGAATTTGGCAGTACGTCCAACTGGCCTCACAACCGCAGACCACGTGCAGACCACCAGCCCAGGACCTCCACATCCGGCTTCTTCATCAGCGGGATCGTCTGAGACCAGCCACCCGGACAGCTGATGAAACTGTGGGTTTGCACAACCAAATAATTTCTGCACAAACTGTCAGAAACCATCTCATCTGCATGCTCGTCATCCTCACCAGGGTCTTGACCTGACTGACAGCGTGTTCCAGTTCCCACCAATATCCAGCAACTTCACACAGCCATTGAAGAGGAGTGGGACAACATTCAACAGGCCACAATCAACAGCCTGATCAACTCTATGAAGGAGATGTGTTGCGCTGCATGAGGCAAATGGTGGTCACACCAGATACTGACTGGTTTTCTGATCCACGGCCCTACCCTTTTTTTTTTTAAGGTATCTGTGACCAACAGATGCATATCTGTATTCCCAGTCATGTGAAATCCATAGATTATGGCTTAATGAATTTATTTCAATTAAATGTTTTCCTTATATGAACTGTAATTCAGTAAAACCTTTGAAATTGTTGCATGTTGCATTTATATTTTTGTTCAGTGTAGCATACTATCGGATTCTCATTAGTGGAACTAAAAACAATGGTGGCCTTGAAAAAAAAAAAACTCCTGTCATACAGCTGAAACCGAAACACACACACACACACACACACACACACACACACACACACACTACTCTCAAACACACTCACACAAAGCAGCTTTTATTGGATTGGACTGGATTGAGTTACACTCCCCATATAAAAACGTATCGCATTCATAATGATTTTAACAGTTTCTTATTTCAGAATAATCTGAGGCATGGTGACCGTGATGCATTTATTTGAGGTTGTCCCCTGCGAGGTCACTCCCCTGAATATCTGTGAAGAAGAGCAGGGATGTTTATTAAATAGGCCCAGAATGCATCGAGAATGTCTTGCATCTAGACTACACATTAGCCTCCTGCACTTGGGATGTCATTGAAGAGGGTGCACTTTCATAACCAGTTGTTGAATGCCCAAGATAACTGAAAGTAAATGTATGAACCTTATGAAATATACAGATTCCACCGTTTCCCATTCATATCAACTATAGCATATAATAAATTACTCCCCCAAGGGTAACCTAGGGAAATTGACCATGCATTATTAAAAATATATATTGTACAATTCAATAAGGATGAACGCCATCTAGTGCCCGGTGTCGGAAGGCCTCAATCAAGCAATGGAGGTAGCGGTCTGGCAAGGGTTAATATCTCAACTCAGCGACTGGAGACTGAAGAGTTTCACCATAGAGTTTCTAAACCCAGAGGCACAACATCGCGAGACTTCCGGGAACGCTTGCGAAACAGACAAGGCCTGGGTTTGGGGTTTGCGAAGTCAATGAAAGATGTACAAAATTATTCCTTATTTGTTAATTTTCTCGAAATCTAAAGGTACAACCTAGATTCGAACCAATGTCTTAAGTAAATGAATATGTCATTATTCCAACCTCGTGAAAGTGACAAACTGACAGGTTTTCATTTTTCGTAAAAAACAACCTTATATCGAAGCAGTGCCGTCGATTGACGGTCTGCACATGCGCATGTCGGCGCGAGACGACCGTTAAACGTCTTTCTACGCATGAGCTTAGCGAGCTAAGGTCGCCATGACATCGCCTACAAGTGTGATCAGGGATTTCTATTGGAGAAGCAATTTTAGCCTATCTTCATCCTGCACTGTCTTTGGTTTCGCAGCTGTTTTGCCTATTGCCTCTCCATCTCCATCTTCGGGATATAGCCTTTTAGAAAGTATAGCCTAATGAATTTAAATAGAATTTAGGTAAGAATGTCCACATGGTAACAAACTGTTTGGATGCTAGCTAATGGCATGGATTATAAAGCCTATAAGTACCCGGAAGAATATGAAATAAATGTAATATTTTTCATTATTGTAACAGAATCTAGCTTTGGCTCATATGACCCCCTCTCCAGTCTCTGCGTTGCCTGGTCCAAGGCATACTTGCATAACGTTCATGGTTAATTAGTTGCAGAACATTAGGCCATAGAAAGAAG